ACTTTATTCAACAATTCGTCTCCTCCGCATCACCCTGGTGCCATTTTGGAGAATATCCGCTGGACGTAAACAGCGTATGCTGTTCTGTGTCAGCTGTGCCACACAGATACGCTGTTTTCGTTCAATCAAATCACAACCACATAGGAAACAGATCCGGCGAATATTCTCGTAGCTTCATAAAATTTCGGTTGAACCCCTGATGTCACATGGATTATTTTACCGATCTCCTTGCTACGTCTCTGGACTTGGGAACATTTCAGTTGTATTGCTGTCTATGCAGGAACAGACAGCTCTCAGATGCCATCAAAAATATCTTAATTTGTGTTCCGAAGATGAACGAAGGTCTTACGGGTTTGAAACAACATGAGGGTGAGTAATTAATGACAGAATTTTCATTTTTGGGTGAACTATCCCTTTAATGTACAGACGTAATGTGACCTAGAAAGTGCAAAAGTAGAAAAAAAATATGAATTACAAAAGTGAAACCCACTTCATGAAACAGACAACATAGAATCTTGTAAAATGTTTTTTAATTTACTTTTCTTTTTTTGGTTTCCTTGTCCCCTCTGAGATGACAGATTTACAAATAATCCCCACCCCTCTAAACCCGACCCCCACATAACCCTGCCCCTGACCACTCACCTGGTGGAATGGGATGATATGAGACTAGCGAGTCTGGATCTTAGAGAGCGTGAATTTAAACAAGTCTGGAACAGTACAGTACATACGAATACAGACTAATAAGCACATGTAATGTACATGTGCACATACTCACACACGCACATACATACATACACACACACTGGGCACGCTCTGTTGAGGACTGGAGTGAAACACCACGGGTTGACTGCAGGTTTGTTCTTTTTTTCCCCCATGATTCCACTTGCCCGCACTTAAGATCCATAACTCAATTTGCGTTCCCAACAAAGAGGGCCACCAATGTACCAATGTTTTTCTACAAAAAAAGGGACTTGGGTAGACAAAAATGTAGGCCAAAAGAAAAAAAAGAAAAAAAAAAATCATGTTTTTAATTTAGACAAGACCCACAGAGCACAAACATATTTACAAGCTCCAAAAACAAAAGTAAAAACGCTCCTCTTCATTCCCCACCCCAAAAAGGCTCAGGGGGTTCACCTTCTCACTTTTTTTATCTAAAATAAAAATTATGAAAATAGACATTGCACAGGCAGCGGCAGTGCCAGGTAGGCACCAGCTGACTGCTGGGTTCTGGGTTGGGTCTCGATGCGGTTGTGACATCACAGCTCGTCCCGGTCCCTGAGGATGGTGTAGCGCGTCTCACTGGGGGCCAATTTCTGGAAGGAACTCTCTGGGGGACTACTGGCCACCTCAATATTTTCCTCCTGCTGGAACACACACACACACAAACAGGCGAATAATTAACCACAAATCACCTGGATCTGTAAAGTGACTGTTTATACAGTCATAATACCGAGACCACAGATAGACGGATGCGTTCCTGTCAGCAGATCGCTCTGTGCCGAGGCCACCGGGTTCATTCTGCTGCACACGCATTCAAATGTCAGCACGTGCGTTTCATTCAGTCATATTCTTAATTAATGTACGCCTGCATTAATTAGTTTAGATGAACACATTCTTTTCAGAGATTTGGACCAGGAAGTGTGCTGAACTCACAACCCGAGTAAAGTGCCAGTCGTAATGGGGTACTTTAATCAGCCGAAAAGTGGACAACACTGATTTTGAGCAAAATGTCATCTTGACATGTACAAGCCAAACTGAAGCTGATTATTAACTAACATCGCATAATGATGTGCTGTTACATGCAATCTGTAATTTGTTAATAATGGAACGTAAAATTACAAGCAGTGATAATAGTATAAAGTGTAGTTTTACACACTACCATTCAAAAGTTTGGGGTCAGTATTTTTTTTTAAATTTTAAATTAAATTTTAAATTTTACTTAACTCAAGGATGCATAAATGAATGCTTTTATTCAGCAAGGATGCATTAAATTGATAAAGTGGTAGTGAAGACCTTTAACATTGTGACAAATATTTTTTATTTCACATAAACATTGTTCTTTTGAACTCTATTTATTGAAAAACCCTGAAAAAAGTTGCATTATGGTTTCCACTAAAATATTAAGCCTGTTCAAGATTGATGATAATAAAAATGTTTCTTGAGCACCAACTCAGCATATTACAATGATATATGAAGTGTCATGTGACACTGAAGACTGGAGTATTGGCTGATGAAAATTCAGCTTCGCCATCACAGGAATAACTTAGAATTTAAATACAAGTATATTTAAAATAGAAAACAAACAAACAAAAACTTCAAAAACAAATAAATAAAATATCTGTAGAAAAAGTTTTTTGGGGAAAAATTCTATAAAGGCACAATTATTATTGTGTCCACGTTCAAGTTTTATGCCCAATTTCTAGCACAAACTGAAAAAGCATTTAAAAAAAATATGATGGCAAGTTCAACACAAATCACTCTTGTAAATGAAAAGCAATTCCATGCAAAAGCTGTGGTGAACTCTGACCTGTCCTGGAGTGCTGTCTGTGGGGTCTGGGCCATGATGGAACTCCCTGTGCAACTTTCCTGAGTGCAGGTCCAATACAAACTGCCTCAGCTTTCCTGGAACCCTGTTCATACACATAAGGCATCATGAAACAGTCCAAAAAACAAACAACAACACGAGCAGCATCAATGATTTAATGAGTGAACAGATAAGACCCCGAGAGGGCCGACAGTCTCCAAAACCACATCATTTTAACAAGATAATGACATCATCTGTACTGCCCCAGACGCCACCGACCCCCTGGACAATCAGCTGTATCAAAGACTGACGAGAGGCAGGCTGATAAGGCCCTTATTGGATAATAGGATATACAGAGTGCTTAATAAAATAAGGCATGCGCTGAATTATGATGCTTTCGGTCATATATGGATGGCCTCTGGTGTCATAAATAATTATGATGCTGTAACAAAGTAGTAATAACATAGTTATAAACCTATGAAAACTAAGCTACTATGTTCATACACATTACAACTATCATGCAGGTGTTGCTAAATTAATCGGCTGAGAGATGAAGCTCAAAGCCCATTCTCTATCACTCACTCAGTATGTGTTTCTCACTCAATATGTGTTTCCAAAGTCTACAATCGTTTAATTGGTAGGTGTCTGGAACAAGAGATAACCTGCAGAGAGGAGGCTGAAAGAATCTCTGCAATAAATACACACGGACAAGTGCAATACTTACGCGAGGTCGCTGAACTCTGGGAACACATACATGTGGCGGAAGCTATCAATGGCAATGACAGGGCAGTCGGCGGGGGTCTTCTGAATGTGCAGCAGAGGGTGCCGGAACTTATCGCAATCGGCATGAAGAAAATTTATAGAACCTGAGAGAAAAGGTCAATTTAGGACATCATTTTATGCCATCAAATTAGCTGTGCAAAACACATTTTCAAAACAGACTAGTTATTGGGTTACCTGAATGATTAACTGGTCGATCTTAAAGGAATATTTCCCCTAAAAATGAAAATCCTCTCATCTTTTACTCACCCATATGCCATCCCAGATGTACATGACTTTCTTTCTTTAATTGAACATATATTTGTAGAAAACAAGTAATCCATTATTATATATTTCATATAATGCAAGTGTACATGACCTCCGAAGCTGATGCTTTAAAAACCACCGCTTTCACAATGAGCTTACATCATGCTTCACAACATGCTGCAGTTACGTTAAGTGTATGCACGTATGAAGAGAAGGGTCTGGTTGTAGACATGCACTTGCACTCTCAGACACCTGCGCTTCCGCAAGGGACGTCACTTGCAATCTTTTTTATGTTTTATTTTATTTTATTTATTAATTTTTTAATTGAATCTCTCAACAATTTACAACAGTAGACAGGTGGTGAAGACAAGAAAAAAGATACAAAATTTGCATTTAGGACATCATTTTATGCCATCAAATTAGTTATGTGCAAAACACATTTTCAAAACAGACTAGTTATAGGGTTACCTGAATGATTAACTGGTCGATCTTAAAGGAATACTTCTCCTAAAAATGAAAATCCTCTCATCTTTTACTCACCCATATGCCATCCCAGATGTACATGACTTTCTTTCTTTAATTGAACATATATTTGTAGAAAACAAGTAATCCATTATTATATATTTCATATAATGCAAGTGTACATGACCTCCGAAGCTGATGCTTTAAAAACCACCGCTTTCACAATGAGCTTACATCATGCTTCACAACATGCTGCAGTTACGTTAAGTGTATGCACGTATGAAGAGAAGGGTCTGGTTGTAGACATGCACTTGCACTCTCAGACACCTGCACTTCCACAAGTGACGTCACTTGAACGTTCACTTTTTTCCTTTTATTTTTTTAATTGAATCTCTCAACATTTGACAAAAGAAGCCAGGTGGTGAAGACAAGAAAAAGAAACAAAATTATAATGCCACCTGCGACGTCACTTGCGATCGACACAAATTGTGCGTGTTGCCAATGGAGACCAGACACTGTGGTGGTTAAACGATTAAAACTAATTTAGTACCATAACGTACAGGGTCCTGCAAGTCACCTGTAGGAGAAAAAGACAAGACCCGCAAATCTTTGGCCACAGAACAGCAGAAGATGAACACAATGCACAAAGTCTCTCGTTAAGCATTTTCCTCCTGTAGAAAACCATAAACACTTAAAATGGCTTAATGTATTAAGATAGTACTATTAAAAGATCAAATTCGATATACAGTTTATTAATATTATTTATATGTATATGTTGTTTTCTCCCATACCGCAAAACGTGGCATAATGTGGCATAACGGACTAAGATGAAAAAGACCAAACTCTATATACTACTCCTCATAATTAAAACATAACTAATATGTACAGGCAAGCAGGTGAGCCCAGAATAAACGCAACAGGCAAAGTTTTGTGGTAAGCATTTTTCCATATAGAATAAAATGTCTACAGCCTTTTTATATCACTGTAGGGTCCTGCAAGTCACCTGTAGGAGAAAAAGACAAGACCCGCAAATCTTTGGCCACAGAACAGCAGAAGATGAACACAATGCACAAAGTCTCTCGTTAAGCATTTTCCTCCTGTAGAAAACCATAAACACTTAAAATGGCTTAATGTATTAAGATAGTACTATTAAAAGATCAAATTCGATATACAGTTTATTAATATTATTTATATGTATATGTTGTTTTCTCCCATACCGCAAAACGTGGCATAATGTGGCATAACGGACTAAGATGAAAAAGACCAAACTCTATATACTACTCCTCATAATTAAAACATAACTAATATGTACAGGCAAGCAGGTGAGCCCAGAATAAACGCAACAGGCAAAGTTTTGTGGTAAGCATTTTTCCATATAGAATAAAATGTCTACAGCCTTTTTATATCACTGTCTTCATCCATTAAGCTACATTATGTGTTATATTTATAATGATTTTCCATGGGAGGAAAACGTTTAATGTGCAATTTAATGCATTGCGTTCTGAGCTCATCTGCTTGCTTGTACGGATTTGGTACTTTTAATATCACTTTCTTACTGCATTTCTTAATGCACGTTCATATCTGCTGGTCTGTATATAGTTTGCATCAACAATAAGACTTATACTGAATTTGGTCTTTATCATTTTAGTCCATTATGCCACATTAAGCTTTTTTCTGTATGGGAGGAAAAGTGAAAGTTTGTGCATTGTGTTCATATACTGGCCATCTGCTTGCCTTGTAGTACATTATATTAATAAACTGTATATCGAATTTGATCTTTTAATGCCACTGTTTTAATACATTAAGCCATATTAAGTGTTTATGGTTTTCCAGGGGAGGAAAACTCTTAATGAGAGACTTTGCGCATTCTGTTCATCTTCTGCTGTTCTGTGGCCACAGATTTGCGGGTCTTGTCTTTTTCTCCTACAAGTGTAATTGTTTCTTTTTTCTTGTCTTCACCACCTGGCTACTTTTGTGAAACTTTGAGAGATAAAATAAAATAAAATAAAATAAAAAGATTGCAAGAAGCGCAGGTGTCTGAGAGTGCAAGTGCATGTCTGCAGCCAGACCCTATTGCGAATGACAGTTGCCTGGAAATTATAGCTTATTTGTTTAAGAAGATCCAATACACTTACATTATATGGGGTCACAGAGATGGATTATTTTTCTAAAAATATTCATTCATCTGAAGAAACCAAGTCATATACATCTGGAATGGCATGAGGGTAAGTACACGATGAGAGAACTTTCCCTTTTTGATGGTGTATCCCATTAAAGAAGGCCATGATGAAATGGCAGACTGACTAAATGAATCTGCAAAATCATTCTCTAGCATAGGTGGCACTTTTAGAACAGCAGAAATTAAAATGTTAGATCATACCAAATGTTCACACCAAAGTACAACATACAAACTACTGGTGCCAGGGGTCTCTATGATCTGCTTTGGCTTACAATGCTTTTGGGAAATGCAGTGCTGAACTGAAAAGCAATGTTGATGGCATGAGCTGGTAAGAGAAAACCTGCGATACATGACTCAATGGCCAAAGTGGATACATTTAAAGATGCAAGTTCTCTGAGTGGGTTTTATTAATTCTCATAGTTTGCATCCCAGCACATGAGCGGTATCTAACCCATAAAATATGAAAAATGACCCGCCCATGACCCTTTCTCATCCCTATGCATACCCTTTTCACTGATAAGCTGGCGAGCCACTTCTTGCTGAAATTTCTCCAGACTATCTGTGTCGTCCTTCTGATGGAAGAGGATCAGGAATGGGATGCCCTCCTCAGTCAGTTCCTTTACACACACACACACAAAACAATTCTAATCACAGTCGAACACAGACAAGCAGAGTGATACAATATTAGCACTGAAGGAACATCGCTCTGATTTGAGGGCCACAACTAAATGCGGTCTAATCAGTTTTGAGAATGTGTAGGATGTTTGGGTGAAGTGCAGTTGGGCAGAGGTGGGTCAGTGGAGCAGATTGTGGAGAATCTGCCCTATCACCAAGCAACACAGACCGAAGTTATTCAAAACATGCGGTCAAGTAAATCAAAGAAAAAACCCACACCCACTAAAGGACATGGCATGCGGACGACTTTAAAACACAAACACACTTGAAACGTACACAGTCAGATGTGCTCGAGTGTGGGAAAAGTACACTGAGGGGGAGGGGACTTTTCTTATGCAAATGATGAATTCGTTGTTCGACTGTTAGATGTTCACAAATGGCAAATGCGGACAAAAAGTACACGCACTACCTCTTATACACAAACAAAAAGATATTTTGAGAAAGGAAAGCATACTTCTCCATTTTCAAATGTGATTTCTCGGACTAGCGGCACACACTTGTCCTGTGTCCATGCGTAGCTGAGGTCAAAATTTGTGAGTGAACCCATGTAGACCATGTCAGGAGCATTCTCTCCCATTGGCTTATAAATTATGTTATCACCACTGAACCGCTCAGGCTTAGAAACATCCCTGTAAAAAATGAGAAAAGACTAGAAAAAATGAGGTACAATTATGACTGGCTTGAATTAAGGTAAGACACTACAGGTGAATAGGGAAAACATTTTAACTAGTTAATATCACCATACTTCCTCAGTTGATTAGTCACAGTACATTAAGACAACTTTTATATTACAAGTTTTCTCTAATGTTATGTGTAAATATGCAAACAATGCATTATCTAATAGAATATTCATTTGCTATCGTTTGCATAAATCTCATCAAAAATCTGAATCACAGTGCAGGGGAAAAACTCATTTTAAGAAAACAGCCTTTAAAGATATGAATTGAAATTGAAATCTACAGACATAAAAAGATAAAGTGTACACTTAAATGTATATTTTGGATGTTTTCTTTCCACTAGCCTGAAAGAATACACGTTATGGAAGCAAAATAGCCCAAAATCTCAAAACTGATCAGTACTGCCTGTAGTGTCATTCCTTAAAGAAATAGTTCACCCAAACTGAAAATTCTGTCATTATTTATTCTCGCACTATATTCAACATTTTATATATAAACCTATACATTATTTTTTTGGTGGAATACAAAAGGACTAAACAAAACCATTTAGGCACCATTAAGGAACCATAAAAGTAGTTAATTTGATTTGTTGATCATATTTCATGTCTTCTGAAGCCATACCGTCAGTCACAACTGTACTGTTGTTGTATGGAAAAGGGCTGTGTGAAGACTTAAAAATGGTCTTTCTATGTTCCACTGAAAAAAATATTTGCACACAGGTTTGACATAACATGAAGATGAGTAAATGATGACAGAATTTTTATCTTTTATCCCTTTCGAGGCCCAAGGGACCGGGACTTCCAGTGTCATTTCGCTGGAAGATCGAGTTATGACAAATTAATAAAAAATAAAACCGGAAACATATGCATGGGTGAATCGTTCATAATAAGATCAATAACATGCATTTAGAAAACAGATTCTGTGAATTATCATGTCAGGCTGACTTTAAGTATCTTAAGTGCTTCTCTTACCCAAAAGCTGCCAGGAAAACACAGTCATCTCTCAGGATGTTGGCCACTTTCTCATAAGTACGGTAATTGGCAGAGTCCCTTTTTTCGAAGTAACCAATGATGGTGCGTCTACTCCTCTGAAAGAGAAGGAAGGACATTAAGATGACACAGCAATCATTCTTAGTCACTGTACCTAAAAAGTACTTTGGTAGATATTTTAAATGTGCTACAGAAATAAAACAGTATAGTATTGTGATTGGGAAACACTCACATCTACAGTGCTGATTTCCTCCAGATTTTCTATCTCTTTGATTGGATCCACTTTCTGCTGGCGGATGAAATCAGCGATGGCGGTCACTGACCTTTGACCTCTGTACTCACGCTTCATCATCATCCCATTCCTGAACAGCTTCAGTGTGGGGTATTTGCTTATCCTGTAGCGCTGGGCTATATCAGCTATCAGGGGAAACATAACAAAAATATATCTATAACCCTTTTATATCGGCTCCACCACAGTTCAAAAGTTTGAGGTCGGTAAGATTTTGTTTAGGTTTACCATGTCTGCATTTATTTGATCAGAGATACAGTAAAAACAGTAATATTGTGAAATATTATTCAACGTTTTCTATTATATTTTAAAATAGAATTTATTCCTGTGATGCAAAGCTGAATTTTCAGCATAATTACTCCAGTCTTCAGTGTCACATGATCCTTCAGAAACCATTCGAATATGCTGAATTGCTGCTCAAGAAGCATTTCTTATTATTATCATTGTTGAAAACAAGTTGTGCTGCTTAATGTTTTTGTAGAAACTGTGATCCGATTTTTTGGGGCGGATTCTCTGATGAATAGAAAGAACAGCATTTATGTGAAATAAATTTTTTTCGTACGCACGTCCACTCGTGTATGTCATTTTTGATCAATCTATTTCATCATCAATGAATAAAAGTACTACCAACTTTAAAAAATCTTACTGGCCCCACGTTTTTGAACGGAAGTGTTTATAGATGTCATTTGAATATCTGAAAGTGTTTTTAAATCAATGAAAACCAACAGAATGAGGCAGCAAGTTTTAGGACCCAAATGCAAAAGAACACTTCAACCTTGGAGATGCTTTGCTCTTTGGAGAAAAAAATATGGGTCAATCCATGAATATTTTGTTTTTTAAGTTATGAGAGGGAAAGATCAAAAGGTCAGAGGTCGGTTTCATTTTAAAGAGAAAGATGGACTCAAGTCAAAGTACAGAGCAAAAAAAGAGAGAGATAAAAAAAGGGAAAGAACTAAAGAAAGTAGAGAAACGAGAAAGAGAGAAGGCAAGAAAGAAAGAGGGAGGGGCCGAGACATGAAAGTCAACCGATGTGGGGGGTAAATCGGCTGGAATCAGTCATGCGCACACACACCCACACTGTGGGGTATCTTTGAGCCGCCTTGACTTCACAGAAGATGCAGTTCTGTCATTAAACCATCAAACACTTTACAAGACATCAATAATTCTGTTTAATTTGCTTTATCTCAAAGGCTAAACTGATGTGTGTGTGTGTGTGTGTAAATATATATAAACTCACAGTGCTGGTCACAGTCCACCCGGGCAAACACCACCTGTGTAGCGTCTGGATATTCCTCCCGCACTATATTCGATGCCTCCTCAAAGATGGGGTGGAGCATTTGACTGAAACGACACCTGTGGAAAATACACACACACACAAAATGAGCTCAGTACAGGATACAGATACTTTAAATTACGAGATGCTAGTGCAAGTTTTTCTTTTCTAGAGGGATATTTCAGGTCGGATCATTCCATGTAATAAGCTGTACAATAAAATAAGCCAGGCATAAGATAAGCCTCTGCAAGTTGATACAAGATCCCTCTACTTTGCGTTTTGTTTAAAATAGGCATGGGCCGATTACCGGTTTCAAGGTATACCACGATTTGAAAATGTCACGGTTTCAAAACCGCTAATATTTTCCGTTATACCGTTCCTGCGGTATGCGCTGTTTTTCATGTCTCCTCAAAGACTG